TCCTCTCTCCCGCGCAGCCACCCGGCGGGAAGAAGTAGCAGGGATCCGGGCGAAGTTCCCAACGAAAATCCCGGTAAATCTCTGTTTTGTTATGGGAAGTTATTGATGCCTTTTACAAAGAAGCGCCGGGAACCTCTCCCCAAAGTGGAGCGGAGCGGGGTGGGGCACTTGGATGGTTTAGGTCTTGCTAAGTGTGACTCTAATTACAATAGGTAATCGTTGAGAGATACCATAAAGAGAAATACCTTCCTCTGTTGGACAAAACCAAGTTCCTTGTTCCCGAGGAGCTGACCATGACACAGTTCATAACCATCATCAGGTAGGTAGGTAGGAGCTCCGTGGGCTCAGTGCCGCAGCCGGGGCTCGTCGCTCTCTAAGCAGCATCTCCCCACGCCGCGCGGGAACACCTGGCTTGCTTCGCTGGGGGGGAGGATAAAGGTGTTTGCAACAGCTTCCCTCTACTGCAAGGGTTTAAAGAAAATCAACAGATGTCTTCACATGTGCACTTGGGGGGAAAATGTGGTCTATGCTTTTTGGATTCATAGAGTCCTCTCTCTTCCCCTTAACTGTATTGAGTAACGATGGGATCAGGCTCCTGTTCTGCTTTCTTCTTGCTTGATGAACTTGATACTGGGGCTCTGTGCTTCTGTTCTGCTTACAGCTGTTACTGCCTTGCTCTCTTACTGCGCCTTGCTGAATTTGCTTAAGTTCAAAGAAACTCCTTAGTGTGAGTGGCATGGAATGTGCTTCTGAATTATTCTTTATAAAACACTACAGGGAAGAAGTCTCCCAAAGTATTTAGTGATGTTCTCTGACAAAGGATGAAAGCTACGTGCTTTCCAGCACATTTTCTAAAGTATCAGAAAGATTTTTCTAGATAAACATCTGTAAAAGATGTTTTTGGCTCTAGAACAACTTTGGTCCCAATCCTTGTGTGTCATGTCTCTGAAAAGGCCTCTTCTTTTGAAGGTAACCTTTATAATAAGTGTAACAGACCATGCTGGAATCCTTTACTACAGCTGTACTGCAGAAGCTTTTGGTTTCCACTCTGCACGCTTCCCTGGTAGCTGGGAACTCAAAGCCCAGGCTCAGTAGCACTCACGGTCCAACAGTGTAAGCCTTTCCTCAGAGCACAAGTCTTTCAGCTTCCAAACATACAGTTAACTTCCTGCTGATGAAGATGTTAAACCACATAATGGCTTTACACAGCGTTTCTTGTGCATAGTTCATACAACTACTCTGCTTAATGTATTTCATGGAACAAAGTTGATATCTTCTTAAATTTGCTAATGCTTAATCCTCTATTTCTCCTCCCTTCTTCAACCAGAAGCAGGATGGCTCTAACTGCCACACAAGCTTTCTACCTGCTGGTGAACAACAAAAGCCTAGCCAGTATGTCCTTGACAATGGCAGAAGTGTACAGGGACTACAAAGATGAAGATGGCTTTGTGTATATGACATATGCTTCCCAGGAGATGTTTGGATGCTTTGTACCCACTGCTCAAGGGAAAACTATGGAATGCCTTCAAAAAACTTAAGGTTGAGTCCATGTGCTGCAGCGAAGCAGTTTGCTATGAATCATGACTGTGACATGAACCTCGGAGATGCTCCTTCCAATGTGAGCTCTTGAGCTCTGGTGTGAGGAGTTATGACCCAAAAGCTGGCAGGACCAGCTTAAGGCAGAAATGGTGGTACACTTTTCCTAGATAATAATTTGGATATATATTTTTATATTTGAAGACACTAGGGGTTATTTTTGGAACTGCACCTCCAGCTTTTTGCAATATCAGTCTTTGTTATGTAACTGATTTTAAGGTGTCCTTAAAGCCTAAGTCTAAGAGTAAAATAAAGACGCTTTTAAGTATTGAATTGAATGTTAGTTTTAATCTGGGGAAAGAGACTGTAAAAGTCTGTCTAGGAGAAGGTCCTGGAATAACTCAGGGGATTTGAGCTCAATGTGTCTTAACTGAAGCATTGCTTGTACAGCCCCTCTGTTTTTGAATGGAATGACCAAGCTTAAATTGGGCCACACCGGAGCAAAACCATACCTATAATGGTTCATTAAACTAGATATCTGAGCTGCAAGATCAAGCAGACTGTACTAGTGCTAGAGCAGGGTTCAAATGCAGTATTGAGCTTAACACCTGGATAAAGTACTGTCAGCTGTTAAACACTGAGCATCTGTGATACAGATAACTACTTGTTTAAATAAGCAAAAGTGATTGCTAGTCAGCATAAGCTAAATGCAGATAGCGTGACTTGAACTGTAGTTTAATCAGGTGTTCAAGAGTCTGTTCTTAGTACTGCATGCTGCTAGTCTAGTCTCTGTAGATAGACTGTCATATCTGTCCCCTACAGGCACCCTCTTGTCAGTTCCCCTGAAGGACTTCAGTGAGCTGTTTTTCAAGGATGGATAGAGCTATGTCACATACCTTGTGATTAAGAGGCATACCAATGTCTCTGGAAAATGTCAAAACTGACATGTAGTGAGATGCTGATTAATCTTAACATACAGAATGGTTCCTAAACATGTATTAAAGGAACACTTGACATGAGGCTTAGTCTGCAGTACAGCTCAAGCTATCTTTCCTGGTCCTCTCATATGTGAGGAATGTATTGGGAAAGCTGTAAATGTTCTGACTGTGCGTGATCAACTTAAAACACCAGGTCATTTAAAAATCTGTCATGGCGTACAGTTAATTAATCAACCTCTGGCAGCCTCTGCCTAGGATGGTCAGATTGTTACAATATGATGCAATTCTTCTGTTCATTACCAAACTGATTTGCAGAATGATTAAGGTAGGAATTACTAGACTGCAAAGAAAGAAGTGTTGACAGTATTTAAATTATGCATAAGGAAGGAATGTCTGTGTAAGCTTTTTGTAATGGTTCTCTTGCACTAATAATCCCTTGAATTTAAAGCTCTGAGCAGACCTAAATTCAAGACTCTAAACCAGAGTGTTTAGAGGGGTACCTGCCTTAGTGAAGGTGGTGTTTGCCAACTCCTGTTTCATGAGCTGAGGAACAAAGAAATCATTGACCTGACCGACTCAGTGGAAAGGCTAAGGCTATGTCAGTATAGGTTATGAAAACATGTGGGCTTTGGGATCCCAGAATCAGTTGCTTGGATAGATTTCACTTATGCCTGTAATGGAAATGGTTTCCATTGCACAAATTGAACTCAGTCATTTGTTACCAGCCCTCAGGGAGGCAGGGACACCTGTTTGGCAGGAGCACCACACAGTGATGTTGAACAGCTGTGGGAACCTTCGGGTGGGGGGAGGAAGGGGAAGTCTTGCTATGTTCAAGCTCTCTTGCCAGCCTAAGAGCTGGGCTAATATTTTGCTTCTTCGGCTCCTCTGCCTTCCTGTCTTCTGTGATACTTGGTACATGAAGAGAAAAGCACCACAGATTCTTGGCTGGAGCAATTTTATGTCTGACAGCCAACTTTCTTTGGTTTGTAATGTAGTAGCTGAGGTGTAAGTGTTGATCCCTCCAGCATTTATTGACATTAGGCTATGGTGTCTAACAGGCTGAGTCACAGATCCAGCCAAAAAATTTACACAAGGAGAAGGTCAGTTGCAGGTAAAGAGCATCATTATAAGCCTGTTTAAACTGGCCTGATGAACCTAGAGAGAAGTCCTGCCAACTGGGAAAGCTTCATCTTTGGGTAGTAGTAATAGACTTGCCTTTCTGCCAGGTGTTAAAGCAGATAGGTTTAACCATCAAAGACAGTTTTCAAAAAGTTTTTAAAAAAAATTAGGAGTTAGATGCCCAAATAAATCAGTTATCCTGCTCACAGAGTTGCTTTGGTGTGACTAGAAGCTTTGGATTCAACCTCTTGTCCATTGAAGTGCAAGGATTAGAAAAGAAACAAAGAGAAGAACTTTGCTCTGACTGACATGAGCAACTGAGGTAACTGCAGCTACTTTCAATGTAGCTGCTGTTTGAAGAGCTAATATTTGCTTGAGCAAATACCTGTTGATTAGAGATGAGTACATATTTTTTGTAATGAAGGACACCATGCTGTGGTAAATAAATTTTACAGTCCTTCCCAATGTACCTCTGCTGTAAAAAGGAAAGGCAAAGATGTCACTTGTTTGTAAAAGTATCTTCATTTCTGAATTATGATATAGTCTCATGTTCTTTAATATCAGAATTATCCACCAGAGAAAAGAAAACATTCTGAGGATACTTCTGTTTCTGCCGTAGACTATTAACTAAATTCTGGAAGATGCTCAGTGCTCTGACTTCAAAGCACTTATGTATGTATGTGCTCTGCTGAAGTAACTTGTTAGCTTGGGTCCATGGCACTCAGTCCCTTGTAAGAACAAGCACTGTGTCCCATCTTCAAATATAAAAGGATAAAATGATCAAACTGAAAGGACACCAAATGTAAGTGTGGGATGTGGGCTGAAATTGCCCTTGCTGTTGAGGCTTGTGGGGTTTTTTTGAGTAATGTGTGAAATATAGTGCTGGGGGAGTTGTGACTTTAACATAACCAAGTAGAATCATACAGGAATAAAACGCCAAGCTCTTTCATAACTTCATCAAGGTACTAAAAAAGTTCTAATGTTAATAATCACAGATGCTGGCATTATTAGAAGGGAAATACAGAAGCAGCTAAAATCTGAGGCTGCACAAACATAATATTTTAATGAAACATGCCATTCATGTCTGTAATGTATGCCTGCACAGTGACTGCTTTGGGAACAGGATTGTTTTCTTGTTTTCAAGACCTGAGCAAACTTCACTCCTGAGGTGCATGCTGTGATCTGCATGCACTCTGAATGCTCTTAAGGGCAAATGGAGAAGAACACAGTAGTAGTTAAAGAAAACATCTATAAGCTCTTTCATTTGATAAAAAAGTCTTACCAATGCGTTTGAATTTTAAGTTGGTAGAAATAATTTTTTTTTCTGTGCCTGTTAAGACTAGAGATTCAACTGTCTGTACTTGCTACAGCTGATGTCCTACAGCCGTCTACAAACACAGCTACAAACTGCGTACAATGCTTTATGGAGTGCAAATTGACATTTGTTGCTGCAAGGCAAACATGATAACCTCAGCTTGGGCTTTAGCACATCAGCAACAGCAGGAGCTTTCCAAACTGTTTGGGTTTAAAAATGACTTGACATTGTGTGTGGGTAGAATAAATAAATGAATGAATAGGGATACTAGTCTTGCTCAAGTACTGCAGGCAAGAGGTCTTATGGACTTAGATGGGCTTTTTATTGTTTTCGTGTGCTAACTACTTCCAGATGGTGGTAGCTTCAGGGTAAAAATATTTTAAAAGATGGACTGTTGAACACACTGAGTTACAGACCATATCCTCCTCTTCAAATGAGGTTGTTTTGTTTATGTAAGATACAGTAAATTAAGAAGGTCAGATGAAATAATAGGGCAGAATATAACCTTTGCCATCAAATTGCACTGCTATGTCAAGAAAGCCTATAGAAACTATGGGGAGAAAACCAAAAGACCTGACAAGGAGAGAAACTTTTTAGAATGCTGGTTTTTAACTTATGGACTATGAAGTGGAGAGGGAGAGAGGGAGGGTTTCTGTGGAGAACTTCCAAGGGATCCCCGAAAAGTGATTGAGAAATGCAATTTCACAGATGCTACCATACAACCTATGTACAAAAATTCTAAAGGCATGCATGCTTCCCATAAAGATCACTTCCAGATAGATTTCTAGACCATGCTCCTGAATTGTAAGATATCCCATTCTTTTTTGTATAGTTTTGAATCATCCTGTTGAATTTTAGACAAAAAAAAAAAAAAGTTCTGCCTATAGATATGTGCGCAGTTTCTTTAGCTTTCCAATGATGCTTTGTAATGGTAGTTGTATCCACCTTTTTCCCTGATGTTTTCAGGTTCCTTCTTAGGAGCACAAGTTTCTTAGCTATCTGCTGCTTGTTCCTGTACAGTCTAAAACATGCAAAGGCAGTTTGGTCCTATAATAAATAGCAGTCTGACCCTAGTTTAGAGGAAAATGAATATAATTTTAATGAAGGTTAGACTCCCTTCCAGAAGGCCATAATCATATTGCTCTCTGCCTCGTTTTCCACCTGATGCCTCTCTTGTGACCATGATGTTCCTGTGGTACGCAACTGTATCAGCGTAGTCCAGGTGGGTTTTGAAGAACATGTAGCAAGTATCGATGCCACAGTTTGAAAAGCAGCACTGTCCTTTCCCCTGCAGTGGCAGACCCTCAGGAGGGAGGGAGTGTGCCCAGCCGGGTGCACATGGAGTTTCCAGAGCAGGCAGGCAGGGATTGAGGAGGGGCTGCTCAGGCCACTCAACACTTACATCATGTCCGGCAGGGGTTGTAAAGGGCCTTTATGAGGCTGCTTATGATTTGTTGCAGGGTGGGCTTGGCTGATGGTGTTTATTTTTGCAAATACTCTGAGATCCTGGAGACCCCCTTTCTTTCTGTGTATAACAGCATGGTCTTAATCAGACCTTCAGCCCAAGTCTGTTGTACATCAGAGAGGTGAGAAGGCTATCGATTGCATAGTCCTTGAGGTGATGCAAAAAGAACCAAGTTCATCTGCTGTTGATCGAGACGTCCCTTGTAGACTAAAGCCAAGACTTTACAGCATGCCAGATGGATTTACAGAGAAATCTTTAGGTCAGCTAACCAGTGGGTGAAGAGAGGGGATGGAGTGTGCCAGGGGGTTAGACATGCGTATCAGTGCTTCCACCCAAAGCAGCTGCAGCCACATATTCTTCACAAGCCTGCCTGTGACTGCCTGGAAAGCATGAGCCTCAGTGTGACCTCACTAAGGCAACTATTACACCCATTAGCTCACAAAGAGAAGTTCTGAGAAAAAAAACATGCACA